GTGACTTTCATCTTTCAGTGAAAAATTTTCAAATTGTTTTCCATCAACCTTCAAAATTTTTATGGAATGCCAAAGTTACATCATGCACTGCTTGCTTAGTCATAAATACAAAAACAAACCCTAAGCCTAAAAAGCAAATTATTCCAAAGTGCCAATTTTAACAATAATGTTCATAATATTACACATAAAGCATTCTTATGAGTATCTTTAAAAAGCTTGTAAATAATGCTATATATTTTAATTTATACCAAACTCAGTGGCAAGGCAGGAAATACCATATACTCTATCTCTTATGCAATCAATAAAAGTAAGGAAAAAAGTGGAAAAAAAGGAGAAGGGGGCACTGGGAACCTGGTGTTAGCAGCCACAAAGCCTTTTAATCTTTCTGAATCCCAGAAGTAAAATAGAACTACATAGAAAAAAAAAAACAAAATTCCTTACAAAAAAACTAAATTTGAAGATATCCTCTGGAAACTCAAACTATGCACATGTAAGGATAAACCACAAGCCACCATGCAGACCCGCCCAGTAACTGCATTTGTACTGGGGGAAGCAGAGGCGAGCAGGAAGGTCTGAGCCGGAGAACCCAAAGGGGCCCTCAGGCATACACAGAAAAGCATGCTGAAGTAATGTGACGGCAGCATTTGAAAAGGGGAGCGCCTGCCTCCAACCCAACAGCATGTGACCACAAGGAGTCCACGATGGATGGTCGCTTTGTGACTGAAACAGCTGGCTCCTATGAACTCTGGGACCAGCCAACGCTGCCTTCAGGAGAAGGTCCCACACTCAGAAGAAACTGCCGGGGTTAAATCATCATCAAGCAGGACGGGTACAACAGAAGCAAAGGGGAGGGAAAGCCCAGACAAACATGGGGGGTGTATCTCACAAACCATGTGTACACATTGTGAACATTAAACAAAAAGGTGGGCACGGTGGCTCCCATCCGTAATCCTAGCACTCTGGAAGGAAAAAGGAGGAAGATCAGTGGGGTCAGGAGTTGAAGACCAACTTGAGCACGACCAAGAATCTGTCTCTACTAAAAATAGACAAATTATCTGGGTGCAGTGGTGTGCGCCTGTAGTCCCAGCTACTTGGAGGCTGAGGCAGGAAAGTTACTTGAGCAGAAGTTTGAGTTTGCCGTGAGCTGTGCTGAAGCCACAGCTTCTCTAGCCTATACAATAGAGCAAGACGCTGCCTCATTAAAAAAAAAAAAATTAGAGATAGGTGAAACTAGGAAAGCCATCCTCAAGTATGCCTTCCTTTGAACATATAAGAAAACTAATTCCACATGAAAATGAGCAACAGAATCTATCAAAGTCAAATTTCAGACACCACAAAGACTTGCTTAGACACAGAATAAAACTGTAACCTTTTGAAATGAGCTGGAAAACATTAAGAAAATGATCTAAAACACACAAGAACTTTATAAATCAAAATCAGAAAAACTCAAGAAGGGAAAAACTCAGGAAAGAATCAGAAATAAAAGAAATTTAAAAAATTATAGCAGTGGATATTAAATTACATGAAACA